AAAATGTCCCTTACCATATACCATTCTGATCCCCTTGTGGGTCAGTTATATCAGAATCATTCAGTTATAGATTACATATTCCGGTACCAAATGAATTTTTTAATTCTATAGTCTTATTTCCCGTCATTCTTATAATCAATATGTGCATCTTCATCAATACATAACAATCAAAAATAGAAGATCAAACAATAGAGAAGAAGAAGTCCACAAGAAAATAGTTTGACAGAGTAACAACACTTTTAAGGTTTTTAAAGAAATAACTTCAAAATATCAACTTTAAATATAAAATAGATAAAAATAGAACTAACATAGCTTTCTAAAATATCTGAAAATAAACTTTAAAATAAAAAGAGAGAAGTATTTGCTTTCTCCCAATATTAACTTCCTTTGCCAATTTCCTCTTTCTCATTTCTGTTTACTTCTTTCCTCCTCTCACTTCTTTCTCTTGGTTTCTTTCTTTTTATTTTGTTCTTCTTTCTCTGTTTCGCTCTCTTTCTTTCCTTCCTTTTTTCTCTCTCTCTCTCTCTCTCTCTCTCTATTTCCTTCCTTTCTTTTCTTACGCGTTTTTCTTTCTTTATTCGTCATGTGCTCATATATACATTGATTTCTTTGCCTTTATGTTTTCCTTATAAAATCTAACTATATATGTAACCATCAATATGTAATTGTTAATTGTCAGCGTTGTTATTTTTACTTCACGTGTCTCTACTTGTATATTATACAATCTATAATTAATTATTGAGGCAGGATCCTTTGACACCGGTGTCAAATTTGAAGTTTGACATCTCATGTAAGAGCCGTTAGATCAAAAAAGATCAACGACTCTGATTTATAAGCATGTGACACCATTGATCTTTTTTGATCTAACGGTTCTCAGATGAGGTGTCAAACTTTAAATTTGACACCGGTGTCAAAGGATCCTACCTCTTAATTATTTATACATATATATATTATTTATTTTTATTTGATTATTTTATATTTTATTTACATATTTATCTATTTATTATTCTAATATTTATTTATTATTATATTATTCTAATATATTTAATATTTATTTATTTTATTAGTATTATTTATTCTTTAATTTTAATGTTGTTCAACATGTCGTCAGTTTTATAAATCATAGCGCTTTAGGCACCACTTTGTGACATAAGTTGGCGCTTTTTGCGCCAAACTTTTTTCATGGCGCTTTTTGGGCCATTGTTACTTTTTAATTTTTTTTTATTATTATTACACTTTCAATAGAGAGTAGAAGCGGTGGATCCAACCTATGAAGAAAAAAAATGTTGGCACACAAAACAAATTATTTGTGACATGAAAAGAGATTTCAAAAGTCTTTTTCCCATGTCAGAATTCAAAAACCTTCTAAAACCCAAACAAATATGTGATGGCACCAATCATCATAGAAAAAAAGACAAACAAAAAACCTCGAAGAGGTAAACATATATAGCAGGATTATATTGACATTTTTTTTTTACAAACTTACAAATTACATTATATATTACTGGTCAGACTCTACTCGAGAGTGTATTACTAATAAGATATAGTATAGTTTGTAAGAGTTTCTAAGCAAAAAATTTGTAAATATAATCTTCTCCATACTTAAATAGATCAAATCATCATGTGAAAGAAAGAAAAAATCATCCCTTACCTAGAGAATAATGAAAGAACAAAAATGGTAATAGATATGAAACCAGTACACTTAAAATGAAGAGTTCATTTATACAAGAGTTTTGATGATAACAAACAAGCTTAGAGGCGACGTCAAAGATAATACAACTTGCAACAATCAAAAGTCTAAGGAAGCAATTCAACAAGACAACAAAAGCAAATCATTCAACATACATGATCAAGATTGCAATATATCCTTGAGAGATTAGATCTAAATGTAAAGGTAATTGATTAATGATGCATAAATGAGCTCAAAGAATATTTAACTCTATTCATGCGTTATCCATGACATCAATCACTCTAAAACTTTAAAATTTATGAAAAAGACCTTTGACATATTTCGTAACCTCAAAATATTTTCAAAAAGTCAAGGAATTACATTAAAAGTGATTAGAGGCAAGAATGAATGCTTTACGACTCGAAAAACTGCACCATTGATGTTCTGTCAAGAAAGTATTTGAATACTTTTTTGCCTGTATTCGAATACTTGTGCTGTGAACAAAGTATTCGAATACCTTAAGGAAAATATTTGAATACCTGATAAAGTATTCGAATACTTCACGAAAAGTATTTGAATACTAAGCAATCTAACGGCTATAAATGGCTAGTTTCATGCCAACACCTATATAAACTCATTTATTACGAATCATCAAGCTAAGTTTTACTGTTCCATTGGTTTGACAATCATTATTGATCATTATCATTGAATCAAACTTATTCATTGCTTGTTTTTACTTGTATTGATCATAAAACTCCTTTAAGCTTCGTTCTTGTGTCATTGATCAATACCCATAAGCTTAAACTTGTATAATCTGTACTTCAAGAGTACAAATCCATTTCTAAACAATCTTATTCTGTTTATTTGAGTTGAGGATAGTGAGACCCTAGTGAAAATGTTGCTCATAGTCTAAGAAAGTGTAAGGATTTCTTTATATTTATGTTATGTAATCTGAATATTTAATTAATTATACGATTTATTATAGACTGATATATGTATTAAATGTAAATTATATTATATATATTAAAAATATTATTTAATGTCAAAACGTGCATTATAATATTAAAATTTAACAATTTTTAAAATTAATATATCACAGTCTAGTGTTGCTTGTAAGGGTGGCAATATGGGTTGAGCTCGGCGGGTCAACCCACCAACCCACCTCAAGCCGCCCCGCCTAGAAGTGGGTCAAAACGGGTTCAACCCGCCGGGTTATAATTTTTTTTTTTACAATTAAATAGTATTTCATTAGTCCTTAATTTTTTGTGATATCCAATTTTTTTTTTTATCTTAGTACTTCCTAGAAAAAATAATGAATGACAATTTTATTTATGACAAATGTTATCTATATATAAATTCCTAAAGAATGTTTGACAAATATTAGTATACATTTAAGATTTAGACTAAAAAAATATAAAGAAGTGTGAAATAAAATAAAATAATATTAAAAAAATTCATAAAATATAATTAATTTTTGAATTTTAATTAATTTTTTTTTAATTGACGGGTTGAGAAGTTGACCCGCCAACCCACCATAAAATAGAGTGAATTCATTTTTTCAACCCATATTTTTTGACGGGTCAACTCGCCCCTCCCTGTTTTTGACGAGTTGGTGGCGGAGTGGGTCAACCCAAATTGTCACAGCTAGTTGCTTGTGGGTGGGAGAGGGGTTTATAAATAGCACTAGAGCAGTTCAAAACATGTGTCGCGTTGATAGGTGAGAGATTGTTAAGCAAAATTTAAAATTCAAAAAACTAAAAGAAGGATCTGAAAGCGTTGATAAATTCATTATTTGACACAACAAAAACATGTCAGCTTCCACATATACAAATCAGATAGATACTCGAGTATCATTGGCGATGAATAGACGCTGCGGGGCAGTGGTGCGCCGGGAAGAATGCAAGGTGGCATGGCGGCGGATGGAAGGGAAGAAAGGAAGCAACGGAGAAAAAACACCGACAAAAAGAAAGAGAATGAAATTGAATTATTTTTTAAAGTGAAACGTTATCGATTCACTTAAAATTTAATAGTGTTTTCTCCCAATTAATATATACAAATAACATCATTGTTGTAACATTGTAAAGTTTCATGATAAGCACATTGTAGCAGAAAGGCTGGAAATATAAGACAATTTTCTAACGAAAGTTTTGTCGTTTCCCTTTTGATCTTTAGACATGGGCAAATTACACCCTCGAATCCTCATTCCTACGAACCCTGAATTTGAAGCTACATAGGACCAAGGCTGAGCCATAACTCAGATTCACGTTCGGTGATCACGTTACTTTGACTGGTTGAAAAGGCTTCCAATGTGATAAAATTAACAACACGCTCTCATGAATCATTATCGCTTTGTAATTTGTACCACCCAAAATCAGAAAAAAAAAATTCACGATCGCCATTGAAGTGAAGGTCTTGTGAAGCAAAATATCACATGCACCAAAAAAAGGCCCCAGCTTTTTTAATTCTATTCCAACAGTTATTATTATCATAAACACAGAAAAAGTCCTAGTTGTTAAACAATTAAATTATTAATCCTTTATCAAGCCTTTGATTTGCTCATATTTCATCATATCATAAATCTGACTGATTCTTCGATAAGAATAGTACGGGACCTCACCTTTCTACCCTGATTCTTCGTTCTTTTCAAAGCGAAGATAAGTCTTCGCTTAATAAAACAAAAATATAATTATCTCTCACCCAACATTTAAAAATAATAGAAAAAAAAAAAGGCACATTCAGAGATTGAAGCCCCCTCTCCCAATATGATCATGGTGATCTCTGAACTTCGTGGGCTCACAGAAAAGAATCGAATTGCATAGTTTATACGGGTCTTTCATCTTTTGCTCAAAACAAGAGAAACTCAACTAAAAACATTAGAAACGGGAAAAGAAAGATAATGATGAAGAAAACAAACCGATTTAAAATATTTTATAAAAAAAGCAAAAGGACAGGTAAGAGAAAAGCCTTGGAGCACAAAAAAAGGAATTTGGAGCACTTTAGTACTTTCAAAGGGGGAAAACCATTGGTCCACAACCAAATCCCGAAAAAACAAAACTGGTTTTGCATCGCAAGTATGAATGTTTCTGGTACGACGAGCCAAGTTGAGTGTACAATGAAGGAAATTCAACTGTTAGCTAGCAATTTACCATGTAACTCTAGACATAGCAGACAGTTGGTGAAAGCATAAATTATAAACTAAGATTGTACCATCAAAAGCAATTGATCTAACAATAAAGATAATGAAATTAAATGCTATTGCCTACTTTAAAAAAAAAAAAGCTTTACCCAAACGCAAAAAAAAAAAAACAAGTAATCATATATCATATCCAGATCAATGAAGCTAAATGAACGAGGCAAATTAGGCATCAGAAACAGCACTAAGGTCATCATCATAATCTTCTGCTGGAGCTGGCAAGTTGAGATCTATAAAGCTCTTTTTCAATCTAGTAGAATCATTGGCAGTTGAGGATGAAGATGCAACGATGTGAGATCTCTTGTGGCCACCAAGTGCTTGACCTGACCCAAACACCTTATAACAAAATGGGCATTCAAAGATTTTATCATTACCTGCACTTGCAGCCTCTGCTTCATCACGAAGACATATGCTTTTGTGACTTCCCAATGCCCGAGAAGATCGAAATGTTTTCCCACATTTCTGACACTGCTGCTTCCCCTTAATTCTTCTTAACTTTACCTCTTCCAATCCCTTTGACTTTTCAACTGATCTCTGAACTTCTTCTTCTTCTTCTTCTTCCACAATATTCCTCTTCCTCTTCCATTGGTCCCTCGACAACATCATGAGGCACATGGCAACATCTTCATCTGGGGAAGCGTCAGAAACAGAACTCACCGGTTCAGGCTCCATCGGTGGTGGTGGTGGTGGTGACTCCATGAAACTCAGTTTAGCCTTCTTGGGTTCCAAATTCTGGCCGAGATTGATTTTTCGGGTTCGCTTGGATCGTCTGCGAGTTGGGTTCTTTGACTCGGTCTCGCTCTCTCTGTCTTGGACAACAACAGAACCACCAGTATCAGTTGGGAAAGAAAACTCAGGATCTGCAAGCCTGAAACTTTTCTTGGGATTCTCTCTCAACCCATAAATCAGAGCCTTTTCATCCGATTCTCTGTGTGACAGTGCTTCTTCTTGTTCTTCGTCTTCTGAGGACGAAAACGACAAGGAAGCAGAATCATCATAGAGAGGTTCAGGCTTCGGAGGAAGGGGAAGGGTGGCCATGTGAGCCTTCATGTGGCCACCTAGTGCTCTGCCATTGGCGAATGTCCTGAAGCAAAGCTTGCATTTGTGCCTCTCCATTTGGCACCAGCGCCAGAGAGAGAGAGAGAGAGAGAGACAGAGAGAGAGAGAGACCACAACACAACACAACACAACACAACCCAACCCAACCCAACCCACCCAGTTAGAATTGTATTGTAGAAAACCCTTTATTCTGATATATGTTCAGCTCAGGGAATTTCGGAACTTAATAAGAGTAGGTAACAAGCATCACTGCGCCTCTGGGACACACTTATACTTATATATGTATATTACGGGACGACTGTGATCATGTAATTATGTGGTTATGTGATTTAATCACAATCATGTGATTGTGTAATTTAATCATAATCACTTACTTAAAAATTATATTCTTTTTTCTTTCTTATCTCATTATCAATGAGTGATTTCTCATCATTAATGAGCGATTGTAATCAAATCACATGATCACATGAATACTTTTTCGAGTGAGAATATTATACATTATTATAATATATGAGTTGTGAAAGGTCAAAACAACAAATTATAACAGTGCCGTTACTTATTCAGTGGCAAAAATCAACAAAGTGTGATCGTGAACAGTAAAAGACCTGTGAATAACATGCGAATCTTGCCCAAATGGAACGTCTTTTTTTACTATTTACTATTTACTGCTTTCTGTTTCCAGCTTCTAAAACTGCTAAAACAAACTTTTGTATCCAATTTCATACAGAGTTACGATGTTTTTACTATTTTATTTTTTATTATTAATTTATCATCATTTTGTAGTTGTTTAATCTTACTTTTTAGCTGATTATTTTTGAAAAATTTATAAAGCGAGAGAAAAGAAAAATAAATTTTAATGTATTTCCCTGAATACATAATTATATTAAAGTAATAATAGATTAGTAATGAAAAAAATTAGATAGTAAAAATATTTTTCCTCTTTTATATATATTTTTAAAAAATGTCAATTAATGAATTGCCCTAATCCTAGCAGGATATTAATGGCATGCTTTGGAAGAAATATCTTTACTTTTAAAATGAATTGGCATCATGCGTGGAAGAGTATTCGAACCTACGCAGATTTTTTTATTCAGTATTATTTTATAAAATAACAAATACTTCGCATATTACATAAGTTATTTGTAAAGAATTTTTTTTAGTAGATGGGATGGCAGAAGGTAAAAAAAGAAAATCAAACAATACCACGAGATCAATGGCTTTTAAGATATGAGTTTGAATCTTGTGAATAAAAAAAATGTTTGAAAGCTTTATCCACCTAAATGGGTCTACCTAACTCAACCTGAGTCAAATTGAGGTTTAAAATGATTTTCAGATACTAGAATCTCGGACAAAATAATATGTGCCTTTCTCAAATTTTAAATTTTATTTTTCATAAAGAATACATATGTTTTATAATTGAAAATATTTTTCTAAAATATAATTTTAAAATTTTTATTAGAGTTATGTAAAAAAAATATTTTTTAATTCTTATTTTAAATTTCACAATGATTTTAAAATACTCATAGAATTCTTTATATACATATTAGTGAAATATAAATTAATATATTTATCTACTTTAAAAAATTGATTCTATATATTTTTTAAATTTCTTTGACCATAATTACTTCAGATTGAAGAGCCAAACAAAAGAAGAAAGGAATTGCGAATCCTGAAAAAATATTCGTTGTAAAGAAATCCCCAATCAATACGTATTTGGTCATGATCTTCAACTATATGTAAATATTTGGTATTCTGATTGCAAATTGTAACTAACATGATTAATTTATAATTGGAGTTTGGATACTAGATCAGCATTAATGAAGATTTATTTTACATGATAGACAATTGTTAATAATTATCAATATTGGCACGACGTTAAAGTTCTTTACTGTTATAAGCAAGAAATATAAACATAAGTAAAAATTAAATTGTATGCCTACATGAGACATTTTGATCCCGCATTCAATATTGATTAATTTGCATGCCTACACTACAAAAAAATGTGTTATTTGTGGAGGTTATTTATTGGAGGTCATTAAAACCTCCAAAAAAAAAACACAAATTGTGGGGGTTTTAATGAACGCCATATCATATTTTTATTTTAGTCAAATTTTGTAATTTGTGGAAGGTTTTGACAACTATAATAATTTTGTAATTTTAAATACTTTTGTAACTTTATAAGTATTAAAAAAAATTAGTTTCGTTTGACCGCTACAACTTCGATGGCCGAATTTTGCCTTCTCTCTTCAGACTACTCACTCTTCTACGCCAAAACCAAACCCCTCTTTTTCTCAGCTCCCTCTAAACCATTTTAACTCCAATTTTCGTGCCTCGCTCCTTCGGCTTCTTATTCTCTCTCTAACCTTAAGAACGTTCATGGCCCAGACTTCGGTTTGAGCTCAGTAAGAAGAAGACAACACTGTCATCGTCGAAGATGACGAAGAAGAAGAAGGTTTCAATGAAACCGAAGATGCTGAGAGCGGCAAAGAAGTAGAAGGTGATTTTGTTGAACCACCTGAAGATGTGAAACTCTTTGTTGGGAATTTTCCTTACGATGTTGATAATCAGAAACTGGCCATGCTTTTCGAGCAAACTGGAACAGTTGAGATTGCAGAGGTGAATGTCTTTTTCTTTTCTTTTTAACCTTTCGATTTTCAATTGGTGTTTATGGTTTTGTGTTAGATCTGAAATGAAAGTGTGGTGATGCTTGTGATTTTGTTAGGTTATTTATAATAGGGAATCTGACCACAATCGTAGGTTCGCATTTGTAACCATGAAGCTGAGAAGGCTGTGGAGAAGTTCAACCTTATGTAAGTTGATATGATTAGTTTGGTATTAGGTTTGCATTTGAATTTTCATATAAAACTGTGTAAGCTGGAGAAATATATTTCTAATTGTGTTTTGTGTATTGATTGTGGACATCGTGTTTGATGAAATGTGAAAATGGCAAATTATTGGATGTTTTTATATATTATGGGATGAGCTTAAGCTGTTTGATGAAATTTCTAAGTCAAATTTTATTATTCTAATTTGGTGGCTCGTGTATTAAATTCATCAATGAGTTAGTATGTTTCATCCTTTTGTAGTTTTAAATTTTTAATCTCATCCCATTAAATTGGTTGGTAACCTATATTAATCAAGTCTCATTAGTAGTAAGTCTGTTGTGTTCCCTCCACTACCTACTGATTGGATTCTTGTTATTTTCACTGATGAATTATGTATTATCTTATTCTATTTGAATATTTTATTAAAGGTTGATGCTGCTATTCTTTTCCTATTTCGATTTCATTTGTGAATGGACTATGCTTTTCGTTTGATGCCAGATAATAAGTCTGATACATGATAGTCTGACAAATAAAACAATAGTTTTGAGGCAGGTGCACCATATATATTGTAATATCCAAATCTATACATTGACTACATACATAAAATTGGAAATTTCATGGTCTTCTTGGGTGGACATAAATATCATTGTTCATTGTTTGTGCAAAAGTCAAATACGACCTTTGAGATTGAATTTTACAATAAGTCTGAGCTCGTTCCTTCCATATTTTTTATTCAACTGATAATGTCAATGGATCAATTAACATACTATGCACATATGACGATGCTTTTAATACACATCTCACTGCATTCTCCATATAAGGAGGTATTCAAGACATTATTAACCTTAGATTATGTGTAGGTTTCCAATAGTTAGTTCTGAGAGTTACAATTTTTCACCCTTGCATTTGAGTTAATATTTAGGAGTAGGACTAGTTGAATACAGGTTAAATAAAAATATCTTTTTTTTTTGTTTTATTGCTAGAGTTATTAATAACCTTTTCAGTGGCTAATTATAATTTCCATCTTTCTTGCTTAATTTCCATTGGCTCTGAAGGCAGCTAATCTGGAGTAAGATGCCGGACACTGCAAGGACCAAGAAGATCATTGTATAGCCTTAAAATAGGTATGCTTTCATATACAGATAGTGGGCTGGCTCGTTCAATCTGCACCTTGTTTTCATTGTATTTGTATTCATCACAGTGCGACTGTGCGAGACATGGTCAGTTTTCAAGTCCTGAATCTCTCTGATAGTACATTCTCTTGCATTTTTTTAAATTTTTATGAAATTTTTTCTCTGTGTGGTCCAATGTCTAGCCCGTAGACTTCATAGCTTTGAGGTGTCATCATAATATATGTGTGTGTGTATTGTAAGAGACTGTTAATTAACTGTTGATACATGTATACCATATGATATTTTTAAACATGACAAAATATGTAATAGCCATCAATCGTACCCTTTGATGGGAAGCAAATAGATGCAGTCATGCTTTGATTTGGCTAATAATTATGAGAAAAAAAATTGAGAAGCAAAAAATCACACCCATCTTGTGCCATGGCTGGTCTCGTTGGACTCTTGCGCCAGCTCGACGACCTTGCCGAGTTAGTCTCTCTCTCTACAAGTTCTCAAAAAAATTTCTAATAAATAAGTTGATGATTCATCGATCATATAATCAGATGTACTTTATAAACGCAGTCCTTGTTCTGACACTACGTAATGACTACAGAGATTCTCAATTTACAAATCAAATTCCAAGAGCATTTTGTATACTTTCAGTGAGAATTCCCTCCCTTTGCAATTTGAATGATATTTTTTTTTAATTTGGTAAGAGTGATATGCTTAATGTAAGATGGCATGATGACAGGTTTCTTATACCTCAATTTGATAGAATGCGGTGTCTTACCATTCAGTTTTGTGTTACATTTGGGCTCAAACTTGATTGTGTATTCATTGTAGGAAGAAAGATAGCATTATAGCAATGAACTCATGGCATTCAGTTTCACCCGAGGAAGAAAGATGGGTTGCATATGAATGATGATGAGGCTTCAATCCCTAATTGGATCAATACAACCTCTGCATCCTTGAAGGTTTGTGGAATTAATGTTGGTTTTCAGAATATAACTATATTGTGAGATGGACTGTATGATACAACTAACACATTCAGATTAGACAATTTCCTGGTTGGAGGGATTGAACTTTATCCTATATTTAACTCTATTAAGAAAATGTTGGG